ATTATCAACTAATGTTTTCAGTAATTTCCTCTACAATCTATGTAAGAAAGATCCATAGAATTAGAAATTCAAAACACTTAAACTATAAATAATAACTAATTAATTAATTAACTTGCTGTGTATGCACCTGCGTTTTGCCAGTGAACAAACCCAGAGCTTCACGTATGCTAGGCAAGCCCTTTTTCTAAGCAGACTGTTCAGTGACCTAGGGGTTCCAAGGAGCCCATGAAAAGGCAGCAAAGCTACTGGTTGAGCGAATGGGGCCCTAAGTCTTCCACCCTCTCTCACTGCAAGCATACAGTGTGGGGGATTCGAACACAAGAAATTCCAACACAACATGCTTTACAAAATGAACAACAAAAAGCACATATGATCTAAAAACTACTTTAAAAAATGGTTCTTACTCTAGCCTACCCACTTGGCTTAGGAACACAGATTAATGCAATTAATGCATCTTTCATCAGAGAAGCTTGTGTAAGTAACAAAGAGACCCACACCTGGTCCAGGTCCAAAGATCTAAAATCTAAAAGATGTAAAAGATGTTAGAATGACCAGCCCTAAACAAGACATCTATACCATTATCCCCTCCTCCTGGGGATCATGGATCATTGCAGAAAAGGAGGTAGAATTCATGTAAGAACCTGAGGTGATGGATGACCACAAGGAAACAGTGTCTTCTGGATACAATATGACAGCTACACATGAATTTACAGTGGTTATGGCAAGCTAAAGCCAAACCAAGTCCGATACGGAGAGAGGAGGTGGGGATGAAGTCCAACCTTTAGTCAAGCAGCTATTGGCAATGAAAGCTACTGAAAGAGCTAATGGGACTAAGTTTCAGTCTCTCTCTCTCTCTCTCTCTCTCTCTCTCTCTCTCTCTCTCTCTATCTCTATCTCTCTGTGTGTGTGTGTGTGTTTTTTAGTAACGAGTAACAGATTTTTATTCCTTTTTAAATGAAAGATGATCATTTTTTAAAGATTGATTTTTATTTTTTATATAATTTTTATTTAAATTAGAAATAAGCTTGTTTTACATATCAATTCCAGTTCCCACACCCTCCTGCCCTCCCCTGGGGAGTCTTCAAAGTCTGTCATATCATTTAGAGCAGGGCCCAGGCTGAGGGAGTATCCTCAATGTGGAATGGGCTACCAAAGTCCATTCGTATACTAGGGATAAATACTGATCCACTACCACAGGCCTCATAGACTGCCCAGTCCTTCCGACTAACATCCACATTCAGGGAATCTGGGTCAGTCCTATGCTGGTTTCTCAGCTATCAGACTGAGAAACTCCCCCTTGTTCAGATCAGCTGATTCTGTGGGTTTCTCCAGCCTGGTCTTGACCCCTTTGCTCATCACTCCTCCCTCTGCAACTGGCTTCCAAGAGTTCAGCTCAGTGTTTAGCTGTGGATGTCTGCTTCTGCTTCCATCAGCTACCGGATGAAAGCTCTAGGAAGGCATATAAGGTAGGCATCAATCTCATTATGGGGGAAGCCCATAATTTAGGCAGCCTCTCCACTATTGCTTAGATTGTTAGTTGGAGTCATCCTTGTAGATCTCTAAACATTTCCCTAGAGCCAGTTTTCTTTACTTTTCTTTCTCCTGGTAAGTCTACCACCCTCCAGTAGAAGGCTACATACCCAAGAACACAAAGGTAGCATAATTCAGACTTAATTTGTAGGAGGGACAAAAGAAGAACCACAAAGCTGGGTAGATATGGAAGAGGGATGAATCTGAGAGGAGTTGGAGGAGAGGTGAATATGATCTAAACACATTATACCAAGTTCTCAAACAGCAAACATTTAAAAAAAAAAAAAGTATCTCTCTATTTTTTCATATTGTGATTACGTCAAGGCTCCTAGTATCTTTTCTGCCTTTCAACACTTCAAAAATTCAACCACATAAATTCCAAATCATAAATCATAGCTGTAGGCACAGAAAACACCTACAAGTAATTTTTAGGGATGAATGGATGAGCCACACACAAGCCAAGCACACCTTTTACAGATGGTTCCACAGATGTCACCACTCCCTTCTGCAAACATACTAACAACTGGCCTCAGGCTTCTCCCCTCATAAAACTCTGACTTGAAACTTTAGAAATGGAGACAGAAAGACAAACCTTAGCTCAGAAGTTAACGGTGCTAACAGCCCTCTGCCCAGCTAAGAGCTCTCCATACCACTTATAACATGTACCTTGCATCCATCTATGGCTAACGATGGAGCATTTCTCCACCTTTGAAAGCCCAACCTTGTAACAGAAAGGGGAGAAATGAGGAGTGTCCCATGGCAAAGATGAGGTAAGCAAGAGAGACAGAGACCCTGCACACCAGGAATGCCAAAGGTGAGGCACAAGCCTGATTCTCAAAAGTTAAGTGGGTAGCTACTCACAGCCCAATATGGGCACATACCTAAGGGCCACACAATGAACTGCTAACACCTCAAGGTGATTGCTGAAGGAAGGGTGGTGAGATCCTAGAGCAGCTTTCCCTTCTATTGCAGCCCAAGACTTCTGGTGTTTAGCTCCTAGAAGACTCTAAAGCTAATGTCCTATTTAACAGTGGCTCTTTGGGTCAAGGCATACTGGAACTGTCAGGGAGGGGAATCATACTTTGGAAGAAGTAAGGCTAGTGCCCCATCTAAGTCTACAGTGTTAAGTGGGGTTTTATAAGAAAGCTACTAGCCTGTTGGATACTGAGAGTGAGGGAAAAAAAAAAACAGTAGGTCCCCTGGTACTGTAGACGGTGCTCAGCCAAGAACCCACGCTCCCAATTGACACTGTCCTCTTTCTCCTATAAAGCTGGTTCCCTCTCTGCTCGCTCCCATCTGTATTCAAGCATCACCTTAAAGGAAGCCTTCTTTTGTCTCACTTCCTTGTTAAGCTCCCATCTTATTCTTTGTTCTATGTTATAAAATCATCCTCCCCAGGAAGGAGTCTATTTCCTCTTTTGTTTTTCTCTCTCATCAACCTTTCTTCCCCCATCACTCCACCAAAACAGCTCTTGCAAGGTCACCATTGCCAAACCCCATGGTCACTTCTGTCTTCATCTTGGTGTCTTATCAGCAGTACTCTGGCAGGGCCAATCACTTGTTTCTTAGAACATAATTCACTTAGCTTCCAGGGTCTTTGCTACTCTACTTGGCCTCATGTCTAATCTCCTCAACCTCAAAACAGTGGAATATGCCTGGGCTTAATTCCAAGAACTCTTGGCTTGGCTACACTCCACAGCAGACCTCATAGAAGCTCACGACCTTAAATAATATTTATACACCAATGGCTCTCAAGTGCCCTAGCTCCACTCCAGACATTTTCCTAATTTAAATTTATTTCTCCAACACTATGAAAATGCACTACTTTTGTGTGTTTTCCTTGATATTTATTACCCATTTCAAAAGACAGACATTTTACTATCCTTTCAGAACAACAACAAATCCACAATCACCCCGATGTCTAGCTTTCCCTCTTACTTCTCAGTCAGAGTGGAAACACATAAAGAACACAGTCACTTCTCACATCCTCTGGCACCTGCTACCACCCGGAGGGAGCTACATGACCTCTAGGCTAGACACTGCCATTGCCTCTGACTGTTTCATATCTTTTCAGCTGCAGGGCATTTTCTTCCAAACACACTGTAGATAGATCATGATGCATCGTGTTTAAAATCCTCAAACCCTTAACAGAGTGAGTTGACAAAGGAACAACTGAACAAGAGGGCAAAGTACCCAGAAAAGCAATGGTGGGTACCTAAAACAGGGAAGAGCAAAATGTTCAGGACTGCACGGGCAAATATGCAGGAGACTGACCTGTACACAAAAACGCTCTGCATAGTGTGAGCAATTTCTAACCTCTGGTGGATATATAATACTCATGGAAACCATGGATACAAAAGCGACCACTGCAAGCATGAGGAATAATACTTTTTTGTTTGTTTGTTTTTCGAGACAGGGTTTCTCTGTATTGTTTTGGAGCATGTCCTGGAACTGACTCTGCAGACCAGACAGGCTTCAAACTCACAGAGTCTCTGCCCCCCAAGTGCTGGGATTAAAGGCATAAGCCACTAATGCCCAGCTGAGGAATAATACTTCTTATATCATTTGGTGACAGAACTTTAAAATGTGTCATGGGATTCCAAGAAAATTTGACCTCTATATTCTTCATTTCCAATTTATAAAGGCAAACTACCTAGCAATAGACAAAGACCTATCAGCTAGTGCAAAATGCTAGTCTCTAGTTTAAATGGTAATTTCAAAGTATTTAACTTGTTAGATCTGATGGCTTGTGTGTACGAATGTATCTGTATATACATACAGGTGCATTTTAAAAACAAACAGAAAAAATAAAATGTGGGATTTTAAAAATTATAAGAACTCTTGTCCATATAAGGTAACAAAAAATAATTACATATTTAGCACTTGGACTCAAGTGAACTACAAGCTATTTTAGTCCACATTCTACATTTTAGCTTTTTGCCCTCTTAGTTTATACAATTATTTTTATTCCACCAACTATTTTAGACCCCCCCCAAAAAAAAAACTTCTCCAATACTTTATCCTTTCTCAAAAATGGTGTTCCTAGAATTGACATACATGTGTGCTGGTTGTCAAGGGGCTGACTGACATACTAAAGTCACAGATAAAGACCAATATGAATTTGAGTTTATCTGCAATGGGCTAAGGAACAAAACTAAAGTCATCATGAAATAGACTTGTGATAGAAAGGAAATTTGCTCTGCTGGGAAAGAGGAAGTTATTTATGATCTTCAACTTCCAAGCCTACCATACCTTCTTTCTTCCTTTCTTTTTTTTCTCTCTCTCACCCTCTCATGTCCCCACAACTACCTCCCCCCCACACTCCACATGTAAGGTGATGCCCTCCAAGAGGGGTCATCTAAATCTGTCAAGTCATTTGGAGTAGAGACTAGGACTCCATACCTTCTTTCTAAAAAGACCTTTTATCGCACATATTAATTATACAAACTAATGGATTCACTGTGACATTTACAGATATGGAATGCTTTATAAATTCACACGCCATCGCTGCACAGGAGCCATGCTCATCTTCTCTCAGTTCCATCTTTAGTAGTGTGCTGCTGGGTCCAGCACACACTGCACACTTCTTAGGCCCGGAGGGAATAAAGAGAACTGAGGCTGGAGATGCAGCACTGCAGCAAAAGGATGGTTTAGAATGTGAAGTACAGGCCCCATATTCACCCCCAGAACCACAGAAACAGTAAGCAAGAGCACAGGAAGCTCCGCACATACCTCTAAAGCACTGGGAATTATGTGAATTAAGGCTAAAGAATCCTGCTGTTAAGGAAAACATGTGGGACCAGGAAGATTGAGCCTGGTTAGGAATAGAAGACAGGAGGGGGGGGGGCAGAGAGAGAGAGAGAGAGGCAGAGAGAGAGAGAGAGAGAACATAAAAGAGGGAGCCAATATTGGTTTGAAAATAAAATTGAACAAAAAGAAAGGTCTAGAGAACTACAAGACTGCTGCCAAATAACAATTTGAGCTTCCGTGGAAAGGCTACCATAAATGCCCTTCCCGGAGAGTGAGAGCAACAACTAACTTCTCCATGGAGCCCTCAACTAATGCCTGTTGGAAACAGGAGCAAACACCCATACATAAACACTGAGTCGAAGTAGAACTCAGAAGCAGAAGGATAGGACAAGACCAGGCGGCAGAAACACATAGAGACAGCTTACCTGAACAAGGAGGAGCTAAGGGCCACCAGACTGATAACTGGGAAGCCAGCATGGGACTGATTCAGGCCCCCCTGAATATGGGTCTCAGCCAGAAGGACTGAGCAATCTAAGGGACCTCAGACAGTGGAGCCAGGATGTATTCCTGGAGCACAAAAGGACTTTGTGAACACATTCCCCCATGGAGGGATAACTGCCTTAATCTAGAGACAGGAGAGAAGCCCTAGTCCCTACTTCACATGAACTGTCAGACCTACATGACCCCTACTGGATGGCATTCCCCTACATATGGAATTGGGGTGGGGGGATGGGAGGGTGTTTAGAGTGCATGTGAGAGGGCAGAGAGGGTAAAAGGGAGGGAAAGAGGGAGGGAGGAAGGGAGTAAGGGAGGTTGGGAGGGAGGGAGGGAGAGGGACATGTAAAATAATAAATTAAATTTAAAAAAAAAAATGCTTTGACTCCAAAATTTAAGTTCAAGGACAAGTCACTGAGGAAAAGGATTTCTATTTTTGTTTCCACAGAAAATGAAAAGATGTGGATTCCTTCCAGACTAATGTGGTTTGATCAAGCCAGACCCCCTGAAACAGAGTACCAGATGATCCTACATTCAAAACAGCTGGACAAAGCAGACTATAGCCAGGATTTCTGAATCTTCTTCGAATCCCCCCTGACAGCGCCCCTTACCAGCAGGAAGTAGTTTGGAAAGAACAACGCCCAAATTTCCAAATATTGTCTATAAATGTTTGTTTTCATTTAAATGGACTTGGTTATATAAAATAAATAAAAAAAAAGAATCCTGCTGTTAGCTGATACTGAGTCTCCTATAAACCACTCTTCCTTCATGAAACTGAGCAAACAGCAATCTAAAACATGTCTTTGTGTAACTAGAGTTAAAGACACCCTATGAAGATGAAAATTCACGCATGCACACACACACACACACACAAAATCACTGCTCAACCATACTCAATAACTGTCTTTATATTTGATTTTCGATCACTGTTGTGTTATCAGAAATAACTTCTACAGCACTCCTTCTTATAAGCTGTGAATGAGACATTTAGTTGCTGCCAAGTGAATTTTTTTCATCAGTCCCTGGTCAGACCTCCTCTTGGACAGACACAGAAAACTATCTGATCTATGACTGTGAAAATATTAGCCTTCCTGCCAACTGCCTCAAATGGCACTGTCCCCAGCATCAGCCATGAATATGTGGCCCCCACTTTTTAAGTGAGAGGATGTTGGCAGTGGCTCCAGCTGACAAGACTGGAGTTGGGCAATTTCCTGGGCCTAGGCTTCACAGCAGAAGTGACGGGTGGACATCTTGTGCTGAACAGATTCCAATTGGGTCGTTCTGTGTCGGGGAATCCTCCTTCCTGTCTTAGGGAATGTTTCCTTGTCCACAAATAAGCTTTCATCTGAGACTGACTAGTGCCACTCAGAGAAGATAAAGGCTAGGAACTGCAAAAGGTGACTCTAACCTCATCTATGACAATGTGGTAGGAGTGATTCTTAAGACTGACAATCATCTAGTCTGGAGGTTGTGGACACTGTTCTTTGGCAACAATACAAACAGACAGCACATGTGAAAAAGACAGCCAAGGTTAGTCTTATTAGATTTTCATACTCTAAAAGGTATTCTTAAGATGTATTAAGTTGTGTTCAATAGTCATAATTCATTCATATCTATTTTAAAGCAAGGGCGAAACAGAAGCTAAGTGTAGAGCAGCTTCCTGGGATGTAAAGAATAGTGGAAACTCAATCTCAAGACAGCACAGATCAAGCTCCATGTTCTCAGGAAAACAGAAACATGTGCCTGTGTGACACAGGTTTGAAGGAAAAGCCTCATGATATCCCTCAAGATGCTGGAGGGCATGCTCAGGGAATCCCCAGAGCAAACTCCTCAGACCAGCTGACATGGAAAATCTGGAGTTTAGCAAGATACCCTGCCTTGATAAACAAGGTGAAGACACCCCACATCAATCAATCTTTGTCCTTATGCATATGTACACGTATGCATGTGCATTTCTACATACATACCACACACACATACACATATACAAAAAAAAAGTAAGGAAGAGGAGTCCAATTCATTCGTGACATCCCATGATTTGACATGAGAAATCCTATGACTTCTCAAAGACCATGTCTGAGTGGAGCCTTGCCAGCTCTTCCCTGTGAGCCTCCTCCAGGCATACTGTTGTTCATTCCTTGATCTTAGAGCAGACAGACCATTCTCACTGCAGAACCCTGGGACTGTAGGAGAGCATGCCTAGGTTGCTTAAGTTCCCAAGATCACAGTGAGTTCAAAGCAACAATAACAAGTTAATATAGTTCTTGACTTGAAACATTTTGATTCAGAATCAAACTCCTTTGTACCTTACAGAGACCTTGTTAATCTTCTAGCTCCCTGGGCTAGCAGTGGTTGTATGAGCATGCTGTCCTTCAGTACATCCCTGAGCCCCTGTGCTGAGTTCTGACTTGCCCATCCCTCAAGGCTCACCTATGTATTGCTTGTTTGGATGCTAACTCCTGTCCATATATGTTTCTTTCTATAGTCTCCCTCCTCTGAGTCCCTCGGCCTTATCTACTGTAGCTTACATATAACTACTTCTACCTGTTAGGAGTCCCAGATGCTTTGCTCACCTTAATACTACAAGTGACAGAGTATCAAAGAATCAGAGCCACTCCAACTAGAGTACAGGGGTTGACCACAGCAATAGCACATATCATCCATAAGTCAGTGACATCAGGCAGGGATATTCTGAAAAAATCATCAGCAACATCTGCTTTTTACACTTCCAGGTGAAGAACAACTCAAGAAAAGGTAAAGATCCTGAAACTGTAAAAGGTGCCATAAAACTGGATCATATTTCAATTCAGACTATATATTAAAAGGAAGACGGCTAAGGGAGATAGCTCAGTGACAAAGTGCTTGCCTTGCAAGTATAAGGATATGTAAGGATATGAACTCAATCCTCAGAACCAAGGTTAAAAAAACAAAAACAAAACAATAAAAACCAGCGTGTGTGTGTGTGTGTGTGTGTGTGTGTGTGTGTGTGTGTGTGTGTGTGTGTGTTTGTAATCCCACTGCTGGGAAGCAGAGACAAGCAAATCCCAGGAGCTCATTAGGCAGCTGGTCTAGCCTATTTAGTGACTTCCAGATCAGTAAGAGACTCTGTCTCAAACAAAAAAGTGGATAACATCTAAAAACAACATGCCTCTGGCCTCCACATGCACACACACAGTGAAACACATACAACTGCACGCACGCACATACACACAAATATAGATTCCCACATGCATGAATATACACACAGACACATGAGCACAAACACACACAAAAGGATGTGAGAAACAAAACCATAAAACTATAACTGAACAGTAATTCCCATTTTAAAATTAGCCTTCCAACATTGAGCATAACAAAAACTCAACAAGAAGGCCAGACAGATTAAATCTAACATCTTTTTCTGAGAGGACAATTAAGTCCTCTAAAGACAAAAGGTGAACTAAATTCATCTTAGTAGCCATATGAGTCAATAGTCAATGGTTTAAAACTTGAACTACAATGCATTGCTGATAGAGGTGTGAAACAGAATATTGTTATTATATCCAAAAATGGATATAAATTTGTTTATATCCATAAACAAATGAAAATAGAATTCCCAACTTTACATACACACTAACGAATCCACAGCAGGATCTTAATGGTGCTGAGACGTTCACTATAGCATTAGCTAAAAAGTAGAGCAAGGCGAGCTTCACTAAGGAATTAAACAAAATGTGCTGTGCACATGGAATAGTATGCAGCCTTAATAAAAAAGGAAACCATCACATGCTATGTACAACATGGATGAACTTTCTTTTTTCTTTTTTTTTTTTTTTTTTTTGAGACAGTGTTTTCCTATATAGCAAGGCTGTCCAGGAATTTGCTTTGTAGACCAAGCTGGACTCAAACTCACAAAATCTGCCTTTGCCTCCCGAGTACTGGGACTAAAGGTGTGCACCACCACCATCCGGTCATGATGAACTTGTAAAACAATATATCTAAATGAAATAAGATAGCCACACTAGGACACAGGCTGTACAATTACATTATATGAAGCAGCTAAGTGAAGTAAAGCCATTGAAACAGAAAGTAGACAGGCTAGGAGAAAGATGAAGTGGTCACTAATACAGACCCAGTTTGGATTTTGCAAGATGAAAAAGTTCTACATATATGCTGCCCAACAATGCCATTGTACTTGATTAAACTATATACCTAAGATGGAGGTGGTAAATTCAGCATCATATGTCTTATATACTGCAATATAATGACTCCAAAATAAAAACCAAGGCTGGTAGGATGGCTCAGTAGCTAAAGTGAGGACCTGAGTTCAAACCCAGGAACCCACATG